TTAAGTAAAGATATGAAATACCACAGACTAGTAGCGAGGAGGAAGTGAGATCTAATTAATAAATGAGAGACCTTTTGTGAAAGGAATAAGCGTAGGACGGAGTATAAGAGATACATTACACATGAAGGAAAGATATCCATACCAATTTATTCCCAAATATAAAGACACATTTATGTTCACCCTACAGGGTCCCAACAGAAGAAATTGATTAAAGAACGTGTCTCCTGGTAGTGCCGATGAAAGTATTCTGCGACACTCTACATGCCTGTGATTACAGCACATATTTATATACATTTCTGTTTCATAAAAATGGAATGCAAATGCTTAATTTGCTTATTAAACTGCCATTAGCTTGCTCCAGCTATGTGTGCATGTTTGTCCTTTCAGTATTCACAGGAGGATATGAATTGAATGTATTTAAGGTCCAGAGACACAGTAATTACCTGAACTTCATTTACAAATACAGTTACTGACATCACTGAACTCCAGCAATGATGAATTTACATAAACTAAAAATGCTGTTAATATTTCAGAAGATTACTAAATTTTTTTTTTTTTTTTCCTTTTTCCTTTTTCATTTATGCTGTACATGCACAAACAAAGCTGATATATGGACTTATGTAATCACAGTTTTTTTCACTGACAGATTTTATGTATTTATTTGTTTCAAGCTTATGTATACCATTTTGCCAAAGTTACTTAAATGCAAAAGTTCAGAGGATGATATCTTTCCACTTGCATCAACAGCCTCCAAGCAGCACCTACTACTCTACTGTTCCTGGCGACATGACCGCTTCCCGCATGAGCAACTCAACTTTCTCTCCAACCTACGATGACCCTGCCCGCTCTGATGAAGAGAGTGACCAATATGGTGGATCTACTTACTCTGGTGGTGGACCCTATGCTCGAGCCATTGATTCTGTGTCACAGTCTGGCACTGCTAAACGCCTTAGTAAGTCAATGACCCCTTTCTATGTATATACATATATATATTTTTTTTGATCACTCATTTTAAGCTCTTGATAAGGATCAGAGCAAATAAGAAAGGTTTTGGGCTGTAACATTTTTTCCTTAAAGTTAGACCCTTTTTATGCTACAGTTATTATCTGAAGAGTATTATGTAGCCATTAGTTTCTGCTTTTTTGGTCTGATGTGAGAGTAAGACAGACTCCACTTGTTCTTGTGTTAGTTTAGCATGGTAATCTATTGTCTTCTGTACAGTCAAAGTACAGTCTTATGTTTGAAAAGCAATTAGGTAATCAGGTGATATGTATTATTGCATTTTTTTTCCCTCTCTGACTTATAATGGAGATTATACAGAATGCATGGTAATCTTAAGGTTGCAGGGGAAAAGGTGTCTCTCAGTATTTTCCTTAAAAAAAGAAAAAGAATAGCCCCATTCAAAATCATTAAGTTATCACATCATCTTACATCCAAATTTATTCCCATCAAAATTTCCATGATATAAGATAATTGCTCTCTTTCAAAGCATGTTTTATCCAATTCAAAATTTCTTGCTATTTAAACAAGCTTTTATTATCCAAATAATTACTACATAGAGTAAGCATGTTTCTGTGCCAATATACATGTGAAATGATTATTATAGACTTTTTATGTGTTTGTTCTGCAATAATGAGTCCTTTTGTGAGCTGGACATTATCCCATTATTGCTACACTGGGAGGGTGATGATGTGAAATAACAAAAATTGGCCCCACTCAGATGGTGGTCACCCCCCTGGAGCTCCTGTGTCTGGGCCTCAACCCAGCAACCATAGATTTATATGTAAGTGTTTTGTAATTTAGTGATGGAAAGTAACCAGTAACTAACAGGTTGTAGTTTGCTGTGATGTCTTTTTTTCATAAGTGGCTTGGAGCTTGTATGGCAGGTATGGGAAACCCTCCATTCCCTCTTGTATCTTAGTGATTGTTTTGGGGTTAGATTGTGGTCACTGATGTTTTTCTGCTTGGGAAGTGCCATTATCTTGGTTAAGAATTCTCTCAGGATACGTAGATAAATTAACCTAATTGTATTTTGAGATAGAGAAAGAATTTGGGTAGGAAATGTAACATGGTTAGTTACCTTTTGTTTAATATAGATATAATGTTGGTGTTGAGGATTTTGGTAGGGGTTTCCCAAGCAAAGTCCAGCCATCTTGCTTTCTCAGCTCATAAGCATTTGTTAGTTGTAAGGCTGAAGCATACTGTAGCTTCATTTTAAGAATGAGAGTAAAGATATAACAGTATAGGACTGTCATTTTCTTTGGAGTCATACTGCTTTACCTATGTCCCTGATGCCAAATATTCCAAGCAGATCACTTTTTTTTTTTATTTTTGAAGTACTGATGGTATTTGATCATGAGAAATAGGACATTAAAATGCATCTCATTCTCAAAGGCACTTTTAATATTTGTGATATGTATAGATTTTCATTATCAAAAAACAAAAATTATTCTTCAGTTTAATTTTAAGAAAGGGTATCCACAGGACTCTTGGAGTTAGA